ACAGTTTTCGGGCCTGCCTTTCTGATTCTGATCACCCCGGGAGGTCTGGGCTCACCTGGGTTTGCATGGCCGTTAACTCAGCGCTGTTTGACAGCTTTGTGTTGTCATCTGTTTAGACGCAACTACGTTTTTCATCTCCTGTTAAAATTCCCCTTATGCCAAGGGAAAGTATTGCAGTGTCCCATTTAAAGCCTGTCTGCAGGCTTCTAATGGCCCGGGAGGTCTGGGCTCACCTGGGTTTGCATGGCCGTTAACTCAGCGCTGTTTGACAGCTTTGTGTTGTCATCTGTTTAGACGCAACTACGTTTTTCATCTCCTGTTAAAATTCCCCTTATGCCAAGGGAAAGTATTGCAGTGTCCCATTTAAAGCCTGTCTGCAGGCTTCTAATGGCTCGCTGGTAACTGGAGTTCTCAGTAGAGAAGTTTCTCCTTGCCTGGAAAAAGATGCCTTGACTTGCTTTTCTTCTTGTGCAAGCAGAGCAGACAGTGGGCAGGGAAAAGTCATGGCTGTAGCAGACCGTCACAATAATTCACTACTTCTCTTTATTAACAATCTTTTCAGATGAAGTTGGGGCTCTTGTTTTTGACATTGGCTCGTACACAGTGAGAGCAGGCTATGCAGGCGAGGACTGTCCGAAGGTGAGAATCTGTGTGACTCAAAGGAAATGCCACATGAATTTATGCCTTACGGCATGTTTGTTAGTTATGAAACTTCAGAATAATCTGGGCTTTGTTCTGACTGGATTGTAAAAGGAAAGCTCTGAATTTATGAGCAAAAGCCACCCAAAACATTGATAATTCTCATATACTTACCTTTTGCCTTACAGGTTGATTTTCCAACAGCCATTGGTGTGGTGCTAGAAAGGGACAATGGCAGCACTCTGATGGAGATAGATGGTGACAAAGGCAAACAAGGGGGCCCAACTTACTATATAGACACCAATGCCCTGAGAGTTCCAAGGGAAAATATGGAGGCCATTTCACCTTTGAAAAATGGAATGAGTATGGTGCTCTGTCTTTTTCTACCTGTTGTTAAAATAGCATTGTAGAATAGCCATAGCTTTCGTGTAAACAGATGCTGTATATGGCAACAGAAGCCATAAGAATGGATACCTGATTTACATACATAAGTATGCATAAAGTATAGTTGGTTTACAATGTTATGCACTTTCAGCATAATTCTTGAAATGTTATGATCGTGATGCTTGCAGAGGATGAGAATTCTGCAAAGCTGTTAAAGGAGGTGTACGTCTGCTGAGGACAGCTTTTGACTGAAAAGTTCTACACACAAAAAGAATTGGAAAACCTTTATGTGTTTATGAAATAAAACAAAACTTACAGAAGTAACTAATCTGCTTGCTTCAATGTGTTTACAGTTGAAGACTGGGATAGTTTCCAGGCAATTTTGGACCACACTTACAAGATGCACATTAAATCGGAAGCAAGTTTGCATCCTGTCCTTATGTCCGAAGCACCAGTGAGTAAAAGCAGCTTTGCATTTTTAAAAGTCTCAACTGTATCTTCTTGATGACTCTACAAACACTAGTCTTGGACAAGTCTGACACTGGCTTGTAGGTTACGAGTGTTAAAACTTAGCTACAGAAATAACAATTTTAAAATACTTTGCCAGGTTCTGTAAGGTAATTTGTTTAAGAAAAATGTCTAAAAAATAAATCAGTTTGGAATAGTTAGCATGAGTTTTATTCGACACTATTTACTATGTGCTGCTGTTTTCACTTACCAAAAAGAAGTAAACATTTTAAAAAAACTCACTTTACTGCCTAGGATAAAAGCAAAAAGATGTTTGGATGTCTTTTTATGTATTATGTTATACTTTATAAAATGCCATTAAAAATCTGTTGCTTCATTCAGCCTTACAACTAATATTATATGGCAGCGAATAGTATTTATAATGGAGAAGTTTTAAGTTTTCTGTCTTCATTTCTGTAAATGGCCCTGTAAGGTAAGTGAAGTGGATGGACACAAATTTCTGGGAAAAAGTGTGGACAAGGTTTCTGTCACTTAATAATGCTCAGCATTTGAAGGGCAGATCTTAAAGTCAGAATACAAAAGATAGACATGCCATATAAAAGTTATGCCTATCTTTAATAAAATCTTATGCAAAGGATTTTCTTTTTCATTATTCCCTTGTGTTGAATTGTAGCTTGTGGAGTATGGACGAATTTGCAATGGTTATTTCATGTTTGACGGCTCAATGGGTGTCTGAATAGAGGCTTCCATTAACGTTCTCCTTACAGTACTAATCTTACATTAACATATTTGGCTTGGATAAAACCTCACTTTTTCAGTAATGTGTAGAATATTTGATATATATGGTGGTTTAGTCACAAGTACAGAGGATGGTAGGAAGATACCTTGGAAAGAGGAAAATCTGAATTTATTTTTTTTCCAGCTGGGTAAGTTATTTCGTGTATCTTTCCCCTTGTAAAATGGGCATGTTACTTGTTTTAGGGAGTTCTTTGAGAGACTGATATTGGAAGAGCTATAGAAGTGTAAAGAAATTTCTGTTATAATAGTAAAAGCATGTATTACTGCGGCCCTTGATTTTCAGAATTCACTCTGTATTTTGAAGTTGATACTTCCTTAATTTTGTGTGCTAGATAAGCATTAACGTATTGTGTAGAATTGGAATAAAATAGGTTCTAAAGACGTAAATTACTATAAATTTGTCTCTAGAATTTTAACGTGACTTGAATACATGACTATAATAATTCTAATTCTTTATTATGTTAGCATTCTTTTAGCATGCTCTAATGATCCTCAAGATAAATATATCTTCCTTTTGGTCACTTATGTGTGGTTTGTTTTGTTTCTTTTCTTCCAGTGGAATACTAGAGCGAAGCGTGAAAAACTGACTGAATTGATGTTTGAACACTACAACATCCCTGCTTTTTTCTTGTGTAAAACTGCTGTTCTAACAGCGTATCCTTTAGGATGTTTCACTGCTGCCAGGAAATTACAGTAAACTTATTCTAGGCAATTCCTAGTATAGCAGCATGTCTGACATCTTGTTTCAAATTAATTTTTCCATAAACATCTAAGGAGGAAGTAGACAAATTCCGTTTCTGAACTTTAAAGCATTAGAGCTCAGTTTTGAAGTTCTCCCAATATAACTGTTTTCCTTGGAGGCAATGTCTTTTTTTTTTTTTTTTTGGTCTTTTTTAAATTTTTTTTTCTCCATTGTGTACCATGGGTAAGAATATTACAGACCTCAAATGCTGTTGTCCAGACTACTAAATACAGTAATTGGAGCTTGAAGTTCCCATAGCCTTAAGATGAATATTTGTAATTATTTTAAACTAATAACATGTTTTCAGCTTCAGCTTCTAAATGAGCTGGATGTACCTAGAGCTTGCTGTGTAGTATTGTCGTGAAGTCTCACCTTTGTGCGTCCAAAGCTCCAGTTAGTTTACAGATAGAAGTTAAATGCTGTTCTCTATGAGGTTGTGCACTTCATAGAAAGAAGATATACACTGGAAAACGGCAAATCCTTTTATAAAGCCAAGAGATAACACGTTGGGGCCCTCATTCCTAGTTATGCTCTAATTGTATGGCAACATCTTTCTAAAGTGAAAATTGCAATATTTTCCTTAATCATTTTGGCTAGTTTTGCTAATGGGAGATCTACAGGTCTCATTTTGGATAGCGGAGCAACACACACCACTGCTATTCCAGTGCATGATGGATATGTACTTCAGCAAGGTAAAAATTGAACACCATTGCAGTATCAAGGTCAAATTAGCTTTCTTTCTGCTTTTCAACAGATTTAAAAACAACAAAACTGTATCCCCTTAAATATGTAAAAAAATCTCTAATGTTCACTGACAAATAGTTTGTTGGGAGAGGTTATTTGTGATTTCAGTGCTGTATAGGTTGGTGAGGGTGGGTTTGGTTTTTGGTTCTTGCTCTGCTTTTTTTTTGTCTTTTTTCTTTTTTTTTGTCTTTTAGGTATTGTAAAATCACCACTTGCAGGAGACTTTATTACTATGCAGTGCCGGGAATTGTTTCAGGAAATGAACATAGAGATAATTCCTCCATACATGATTGCTTCAAAGGTGGGAAAGTAACTGTATTTAGTAAGTCTTTGCTTGGGGAGAGGGTTAAATGGTTAACTGATGGTCATATTTCCTACAATCTCAGGAAGCAGTTCGGGAGGGCTCGCCAGCAAATTGGAAGAGAAAAGAGAAGTTACCGCAAGTCACTCGGTCCTGGCACAACTACATGTGTAATGTAAGTAGGTCACTTCTCCCAGTCTCAAACTCCCCTAGGACTCCCATAAAGAGGTTTGGTTTGCGAGTATATCAGGTTTTCTTGAAGAAGTAGAAAAGCTGTAAAAAGTCAGTATCAATTCTATAAATTCTATCAAATTGAAGACTGAAATTCTTGTAACCGTATTATTCTTAACTCCATAGTGTGTCATTCAGGACTTCCAGGCTTCTGTCCTCCAAGTATCAGATTCAACCTATGATGAACAGTACGTCACTGTTTTCCTTCTTGTAAAATTAATTATCAGTTGTGCATGGGGTGCTTAGCCTGCTCATTGCTGTTGGCTGGTTTTATTACAGAATAAGTTTTTAGATAGAATCTGTTTATTTCTAGAAGTAGAAATACAGTGTACATCCAGGTGATAGTTTTTTATTTAATATTCCAAGATGCATGATCTCATAATAAGTATTATTGACAGTGTAAGTCATATCAGTCACAATATTCCAGTTAAAACCTTCGTTTATGATGCTACTTAGATAACTTAACATCCTGTTTACGTTGCGCTTTGATATGTCACTTTCTGACTAATGCTCTAGGGTAGCGGCGCAGATGCCAACAGTTCATTATGAGTTCCCCAACGGCTATAACTGTGACTTTGGTGCTGAGCGTCTAAAAATTCCTGAGGGATTGTTTGACCCTTCCAACGTAAAGGTGAAACAACTATGATATGTGGTAATTGGAAGGCTTTAAACTGCTAGATTATCACATGGCTTCCTTTTGTATGATGTTCTTAATTTCCTGATTTGTATGTGTGTATTTACACGGTGTGGTTCTCCTCGGGGTACGATTTGCCTGTGTTGTTCTAGGGTTGGGCTAGCAAAGGATGAAATGTAGTTCAAAATGGGTGGTGATGAGCTGAGTGGGAAAATAGGATTTTTTTTCTTTTTTCCTTCCCTAAAAAATGCTTAGCTCCCTGTCTAGTAATACTTGTAAGTTCAGTGCATTCAGGGCTTCTATACGCCTTGCTCTTTTGAAGCGATGATGTTTAGATTACTAATTTTAATTCTAGGGTTTATCTGGTAACACGATGCTGGGTGTGAGCCACGTTGTCACAACAAGCGTTGGAATGTGTGATATAGACATCAGGCCGGTAAGTGTTAGTCAGACGTATTATTTTAAGGCATAGATATTTCTGTGCTGATACAATTTTTTGCGGACCAGAACACTGTTGAAGAAGAAATGTGGATTTCCTAGGATAATGATAAACACATTAGAATAATTCTCTGAAATATTGTGTATTTGTATATAGGAATGTGTACAACTACAGTTTTGTTTTAAAAATCCTGATTTAGCATTTTGTTACTTTTACTCGGTGTTTTTACCTGTACTTAAATAGCTGATGTCCAGATTTTGTGGCTGGCACTGCATAATGTTCATGGGATTGGCTTCAGATGAGCCTTTTATGTTCATAACTTTGAGTGTTATCTTCAGATTTTTGAGCATGGCAGATACACTTTTTAAACATAACTAATCATATGGAACTTTTCTAGAGAGTAAAATGAAGAAAAGAGGTTTTAAAAACTCTGCTCTAACTTTCTTAGGTGTCAGTTTGAAAATATTTAAGTTTGTTATGGACTACATGGGGATTGTTCCAGAATCTTTCCTCTTCACTTGCCTGTCAGTCTGACTTAGTAGGCCAGGCCACGATTTGTGTTCACCAGCTGCAGCATCAGTGACATTCAAAACTGTTGCAGTGCTGTGAGGTTTTCCTTTGTGGCTGGAACATCCAGCTGTAAGGAAACCAACAGTTTGGATACAGGAGATACCTGTAGGCGTAGGGTTCTCTATAGCAGAACATATTCCGTGAAATCATTTAGAATCATTAATCACATAGCTTCTGTCTTCCTTGTATAGTTTAATATTAAGCTGTCTTTAAATATTTTTCAAGTGATCAAAAAATCAATTGGATTGGGAGAGGTAATATTGTTGCCATCAGGTGATGTATTCTTGCTGTTTATTATATGTACTTGTGTGCCATTCCTCTCTATTCTGTGAAACAGTTGTTCTCAGAATGATTTCAGAGTTAACATTGTAGGTTGCTTATTCTCTTTTTAGGGCCTCTATGGCAGCGTGATTGTAGCAGGAGGAAACACTCTAATACAGAGTTTCACAGACAGATTGAACAGAGAGCTGTCTCAGAAAACTCCACCGGTAAAACAACTCGTTAGATTACTGCGTTGAGTTACTTATCGTTTTGCTTATCTGCTGCATAAATGCGCAAGCATGTATCATAGTTTTGACTTTGTTGGGAACCCAAGAGCTGAAGAGGTTTCTGTGGGGTAAGAAATCTCCTCCTTCTCTAAAGAAAAGAAAGAAGTCTTGAAAAGTTTTTACATGAAATGAATTTCAGCAGCTGCTTAATTGTCCCTAAGCAACAGTCACTATTTCCCTTGGTGGCCTCTCTTCTGAAGTGTTGCTGAGTAACTTGAGGCACAGTCAGTCATTCTGCCCGAGGTCTTCTCACTTTGTCATGGGAATTGGTCTTTGTAGATTCTACAGACAGTCCAGCCTACTCATAGATAAAACCTGGTGATTTAACATGCTTGTATTTTTTTTTAATTATTTGATGTCAAAGAAAGTATTAATACCTTACACCTGTGTTCTTGAGAGCACGCATAGCTTATGATATTTCTTGAATATTCATATTCAAGAAAAAAAGTTCCACTTGTAGCAACTGTGATATCGTGAATGAAAGGTAGCCACTCACTGCTTCTATAATAGCTGAAGAGGAACTCATTGAAATTCAAAGATGTTACTTCTACAGGGCACTTTGAAAAGTAAAGGAATGAATGGGTCCAAAAAGGGCTAGATAAATTAAGTTCAGCAATGTTAGACATTTTGGTCCCAGTGCACATTTTAAACGGCCCTGTGTTAGAGGTGAGCATGTATGCCGTGAGTGTTGTTGCTCTCTAGCTGCCCTGTTTCTAGCCTTAGGCGTTTGCTGCTGCTCCCTGTTGGGAGACAAGATAAAAGCCACAGATGTTCTGTTCCACTATGGCTATTCTTGAATCCTAAGAACAGGGCAGATGAGCATTATTGCAAGTTTAATAAAATTGACCTTTTTCACCTGCATGTTGTTATACACACAGAATTCTTTGTGTTGTGCTGCTCTTGTCCCTAAAAGTCACCAGCCTATAATTTGTCTGATTGTTCTTTCATTTTGCCTCCCTTTCTATTCAGAGCATGCGCCTGAAGTTGATCGCGAACAACACAACAGTGGAACGGAGGTTCAGCTCGTGGATTGGTGGTTCGATTTTGGCTTCTTTGGTTAGTAAACCTGTATCACTATGTGCTGAGCAGCACTGTCAGCCAAAAATCTAATTCCGCGTAAGTTTGAGTTGCATTGCAGAGTTTGTGCTACCATAGCAATCATAATCTTGGCTATCCTTGTGGTAAGGTGAGGAGAATCTATTTAGAAAATAAGACAACGTGAGCATTTCCAGTCAAAAAATGTTTTGCCACATTCTCCTATTTTTAATGGCAAGGTGCAGGCTTGAAATACAGTACCTAGAAATGACATGTATAGTGCACCATGGAAGTAGCAAACCAGTTTCTGCATCATATTCGTGAGCTTAATACTGCAATTTACTGAGTACCAAAATGGCTTGTGGGGATTAATTTAGCAGTATGGGAAAGGCAGACTGAAATCAGCTTTCAATACTGCTGCTTCCTGTCTTCAGTTTAATCGCTAGCAGTATAAAATTCAAAGGAAAAGACAGTTAAGCAGATCAAGTCTTCTATCATTTAGTGTGAACACTTGCCTGATTTTCCTCCTAGGAAAAGCTAATCATATTTCACTTAACCTTCATTTGTTTTCTGGTTTATTTTTGTGTCGGTTGTTTTTTTTTTGTAGGGTACTTTTCAACAGATGTGGATTTCTAAACAAGAATATGAAGAAGGAGGGAAACAGTGTGTAGAAAGAAAATGTCCTTAAACCTCTTACTGTGAAAACTGCGGCCTGCTCAGTGCTCCTTCTGTTTTATAGCTTTAGCATACTCAGGAATGGGAAGGACTCTTTTTGTAGAAATTTATATTGGATTTTTTGCATAATTCAAGTTCCATTTTAACAAGCCTTAGCAATTTTGAGAGACCTAATTGGTTACTATCATAGAAAAAGGATGTTTATGTCCTTTGTAAAGCAATAATTCATGTAACAAGCATTTTATAATTTTATATAAATATATATTTTCTCTAGTATCTTTTCCTGGGAACAGCTTTACAGATTAGCTAATAGAGGCATAACCTTGCAAATGCCCATGCAAATTTATTAAAAATCTCTTGTCTACTTTCACATATTAGTCTTCCTTGCTGGTACTTTGGCCTTAAAATGCTCTTAAAAAAATAAAATTTGTTTTTTTTTATTTGAGCAACTTTGTGAGTACTTGCAGAGAAAGTTACTCTTCTAAATTGAAATTTTGTATTTGGTGATCTACTGTAGGCGACTCAGCTCAGCGTAACCTTTTACTCTGTAGTGGAAATGTTACATTCCATGTAGTGAAGTTATATTAAGCACTGGTTTGGTAATTTTCTATTATGGAGCAATTTCATTCCAGTAAACAATCAGTGCTTTCCACCTGATTTCTAAGAATGTATATAATGCCTTTGTCATGTAGGTGAGAAGCAAAACTTGTCTGAGCCAGGGAAGTGAAGGCAAAGAATTGTCTCTCCAAGATGAGGGCAATAGTCATAGAAGACCTCAGGATGTGGCTTGACATGTGGCAGGGAGCTGCAACCTCAAAGGGGCGGTCAGTAGCTGTTCATGGCTGGTTTAGCTCCCGCGGCTGACTCACGGCAGGGTCAGTAAGCACCTGTGTTTTGCAGGGGGAGTGTGCACTCAGGGTCAGGGCAAGCAGGATGATTTTTTTTGGTTTTTTTCCAGCAGGCACTGGCTGTCATGCTGCAGCTCTGTTGCTGTTAAGCTTACTCTAATTTACAGCTGTGTGATGGTCTGTACTGGGACACGGTGAAGTTTTGCTCCTTATCTTAAAAGCTGTGGAAAACCAAACAGCATTTAACTGATGTAAAAAAAAAAAACAAAACATAAACAGTACTGCTACATTTTTAGTATCCTGAAAGATCTTGTGGGTAAATAATGATGAGGCCTGTAGCTGAAAACAGTTTCACGTTACCTCCAAACAATAAAGTAATTTGTCAAAACAACCTGCTTTTGTCTTATCGTGATAACCATTAGTTGCTCTTGAGACCAAGTTGCTTGCTCCAGATTTTCAAAGCTATTGACAAACCGTATTTCTCTCACAAAATGAGGCAAACTTAAACCAGCTACAACAGGCGCTATAAATCACCAGCTGTTGTTGTCATACTGGAAGAAAAAGACGTCAGTCTAGTTTGCATTCAAGTGGCATGGGGAACGTCAGCTGAACTGGTATCTTAGCACAGCGCAACTAGTAGTGCTTTACAAAGTTACCGTGGCATCGGAGGAGTACCAAGATTGACTGGGCAGCTTGTACCTACCCAGTGAAGATACCACATAAGCTTTTTTGTTTCTCTTAATGAATTGACTATGCACTTTAAGCTTTCTTCTGTGTCACATGCTGAAGTCTCATTATGCCTAATCAACTTCTGCCTTCTGTGTATCTTCTTAAAAATAATTACAGTACAACTGTAATATCTGTGAATGCTCTAGCTCGACATGGAGAGCAAAACACTTCCTGGGTTTTCTCACCACTGTGAGGAGTTTGTGTTTAAGAAGTGGGTGTTTTGTGCGATGCAGAGGAGTAACTGAAGTTCGAGATGATGGAGATGATAGGTATGTCTGTCTCCTACAGTTTCAGGTCCCCTGGAGTTTCCCCTGGTTTATCAGATCACAGCACATTTGCTTCCTGAAAGACTAGTATTTGACTTTTCTCTAAATTTCTACAATATTCTAAATTTCTATGCAACCTCATCTGAAGGTTAACAGCTTTCATGAAGTGGGTGTTGGTTACCATCTACTGAGTGCAGCAGCAGTACTCTTCTACTTTAGTTTCACAGAAGACTATTACCAGTCTTCCTACAAACATTTTGCATGCTGCAAAAAAGCATGGCACAAATTTTTAAATTTGTCATAGGTATCTAGAAATCTAGATGTAAAGACTGCTCTGTTAAAAATTCGCATGCTAAATATTTCATACTTTCTAACAAGCCAGACTTAAAGCGGGGAAGAAGTTCTTCGCAGCAGACTGAAGAGCGCATATTACCATGCTTTTATGTAGAAAGAACACGTAACTTGGGTGACGTACTGGTGACGCAGATGATCAGGGAACAAAGGCCAGTATGCAAGCTTCAGAGGCTTTCATGTTTCTGTCTGGTTTTAACGCATATTTGTTAAACTAAACCAGGTAAATATTATCCCTACACTGTATGCTTTCATCTGGCAGTTAATTGCTGCTTTTCATTGGTAATGACGTATGTCTCACTTTCATCATAGCTGATTAATACGTCATTTTTCAAATGTTTCTAGAAACAACTCGGGATTAATGTAAGTCATGCACCAAAGCTGCTTTTTAATTCCAGATCACAGGTTTAATTTAGGTCAAATGTGGGATTAATAAAAAAAAAAAAATGTTGAGTCTCAGGAATGCTCAGTCAAGTTGTTCGCTGGTTTCAGAACTTGTTCCATGTTCCAGTCACAAAGACCCTCAACCAGTTGCTTGCAGCGCTCTTCCAGCACGTTACTGGCTCTGAGATTTTACAGCAAGGTGAGGGAACTTCCTTTCCAAGACCTTCTGCCTTGTCTTCTCAAGGTTTTGCCTTCTTGCCCTTCTACGTAAAGATTGTTCAAGTCTGAGTCTGAAATAAAGAAGTCAGTGTGGTTAATTTCTAGACAGCTTGTATCATCCTTAATTAGCTCAGCTCCCTAATCAGATAGAGGGCTCCCAGTTATTAACAACTTTAGTATTAATTCGGTTTCAATAAGCAAAAATGCCTGCAAAGCAAACTATTCTTCTGCTTTTCAATTCTGCAGAAATTCAGCCTCTGGGAGGATCTTAGGTAATCTGCATGTAAAATGACTTTTACAGGGCAACTTCATAGAGAACCAAATCCCTTAATAACTAAGATGGGAACAGCAAAAAGAAACAGAGCAAGCTGTAATTTTAAAAAGTCTTATTTTAAGTCTACTAGCTTTAAAAAAAACTCAAAATGCACCAAAAACCAAACCACAAAATAAGATTACTACTATTTTTTCCTTACAAAGTGGAGCAAGGAGCACTGAGGAACAGGTAAGAAAATGATTTTCAATGTCAAAAAAATCTTTTTACCTGATGAAGTGATTCACATGAGGTAAGTAATAGAACCTCCTCTTTTTGTATTTTTTATTCAAGTACCATGGTATTGGCCATTCCTTGTAAGTGTACCTGTTAAAGAGATAAAAGTCATTTTAGAACGTATCCTTTTTGTCTTCATTCTTGGATTCTACCAGTTGCACTTGGTTGCAGTACAGTGATAAAGCGGTCTGGCCAGTAGATCACAGAATCTGTACACGGGTATTTACTTTCAGCTCTGTTACTGGCTTGGTTTGTAACTACGTTTTGTACGTAGCTCAGCGTCTTTCTGTAGAAAGTGGTCTTGCTTTAAAACCTGTAGATGTCCGAAGAGAGGACTATACATAGTGATTCTTTGCATTTGTATTTTAAAGTTACTCCTTCATAAGAAAACCTTCAAAAGCTGCTGTGAACAAACTGTGTGTGAAGACAGTATTGTTTCTACTACAATTTTCTTTTAAATGCCAATGTTTGAGTGTCATGTGAAGTGCAAATCTGCCTGAACATAAGCTCTTCCCTCTAAATATAGACTCTGTTGTTTCTGTTTGGGGTTTCTCTTGCATACGGGCTGCACAGATGGCTTGTGCACTTACCTACAGACTCCAGTGCATCCAGACTGTGTCAGACCTACCATTATGTGTATTGCAGAGCTTCTGCATGTGCTTAAAGGCCATTTCATGTCATCTGCCCCTTTCCGCCTGCTTTAACTGGAGACTGGACTTCCAAATGTATGGGCAAACCCTGCTTTGTGGACTGTGTCTCCAAGCAGAAGGAGGCGTACAGAAGCCTTACCCTGGAGATACCAGTCTAGTGGTTAGTGTGTTTAGTACTCTACTGATTTATATTCGATGGGTAAACAAACGGATAACAATGGAAAATTCACCATTATTATAACGTGTGACCTTCTGTTATCTACATTGTTACTGCAGAGCTGAATACTGTAATTAGTGCTTCAAATGCCAGTATGATGAACTACTGGTTAATGAAATAGCAGGTCCTGCCAGAGCCTTCAGCACCATCACCTGAAATTACAGATTATTGAAAGTATGTGGACAGTAAATAATTATAAAGGTAGAAGCTTCTAAGTAAGTTAAGTATTTGCCAAGACTAGTACGGAATTCCAAGGGATGTTTATGTGGTCTCATGCAATACTTGGGGCGGTTGTCCCCCAGTATGTGGCTCTTGCGTTGTAACTGGGGCAGTCCAAGATGGTTCAGCTTAAACAGTACTCCCTAGTTCATTCATGTGTTACAGAATCGCTACAGTAACAGACATCCTCAAGCACAGAAATAATATTAGTTACATGGAACCAATTTTGTTATAATTACTGGTTGAGTTTGCCACTGAATTATTAAGCAACAATTATAAGCATATTAAAAAAAACCCCAAAACTCAAGAAGCACCCAAATACTGACTAGAAAACATGTTTGTTTCTATAGAGTACATGCATCCTTTCTTGATTAGGTAAGCATTTTCTGGCAAAGAAAGATACCACAAGAAAAATTCACACACATGAAACAAAAATTCTCTTTTCCATACCAGTAGGTGCGTCCTAAGAAGTCATGTCTCCACTCGCCAGGTACTGGTTTTTCATGGCCAGTTTGTAAAAGCCTCAAAGCAATTTCTCTTTCTCTGACAACCAAGTCTATATTTTTCATAGATTTTTTTACCTGGAAATAGGAAATAGTTTCAGGATGGGCCAAAAAAACAATGCTGACGATTTAAAAGATCTCAAATGAAGTTCTAAGACAGAATTTAAAGGAAAAGCCAAGGTAAAACACACTAGGAGTTCCATCGTGACTAACCTCACAGTTGTGGACTGAGTGAAACAGCTTAAACTGGCCCAGTGTACTTGAACAGTAAAGAACAGGTGCTTAAAAACACTAACAAATGGAAGCAAGATGAAATAACTGACAGTGAATATTCATTAAGAGCTAGCTGGCTGACACATAAAGCCAGACCTGCTGCTGGAAGTACAGAAAGCTCGGAGGCAGGGGCGGGAAGGAAGCAGGAGCAGCAAGTAGAAGGTAGGCTGTAGGCATTTCTGTCAGACGGTTTGGGCAGGCTGGCTGTTACTCCGGTTTTCGTTCTGGAGTCGGGGCACAGCCTCAGTAACGCCTGCTGGCTGATTAGAAAGCTGCCCTCACCAAACTACGACACGTGAAGGTCTGTAGTCAGGTCTGTCTTGTGATATTACTGTAACACACGCTACGTATGGCAGCATGTTAAATGCTCTGGGAAGCAGCTAGAGC